TAGATATTCTAGGACACAACATCTAGGGATTAGATAATCTCGGGCACAACCACTAGGAGCGAGATATTCTAGGCTATAACCTCTAGGGACGAGATACTCTAGGGCACAATATCTAGGGATGTGATATTTTAGGGCACAACATCTAGGGGCGAGATATTCAAGTCTATAACCTCTAGGGGCGAGATCTTTTAGGCTGCAACATCTAGGGGCGAGATTTTCTAGGCTATAACATCTAGGGACGAGATATTCTAGGGTACAACATCTAGGGGCGAGATATTCTAGGCTACAACATCTAGGGATAAGATATTCTAGGCTACAACATCTAGGGGCGAGATATTCTTGGCTATAACATCTAGGGACGAGATATTCTAGGGTACAACATCTAGGGGCGAGATATTCTAGGCTACAACATCTAAGGATGAGATATTCTAGGGCACAACATCTAGGGGCGAGATATTCTAGGCTATAACATCTAGGTGCAAGATATTCTAGGCTATAACATCTAAGGGCGAGATATTCTAGGGTACAACATCTAGGGACGAGATATTCTAGGCTACAACATCTGGTTGCGAGATGTTCTAGGCTACATCGTCTGGGGCGAGATATTCTAGGGTATAACATCTAGGGACGAAATATTACAGAGATTACGCAACATCTAGGGGCGAGGATATTCTGGGGCACAACATCTAGGGATGAGATATTCTGGGGCACAACATCTAGGGCGAGATATTCTAGGCTATAACCTCTAGGGACGAGATATTCTAGGCTATAACCTCTAGGGACGAGTTACTCTAGGCTATAACATCTAGGGGCGAGATATTCTAGGCTATAGCATCTAGGGGCGAGATAATTTAGGCTATAACCTCTATGGGCGAGATATTTAAGGCTACAACATCTAGGGGCGAGATATTCAAGGCTATAACATCTAGGGACGAGATATTCTAGGGTACAACATCTAGTTGCGAGATATTCTAGGCTACATCATCTAGGGGCGAGATATTCTAAGGTATAACATCTAGGGACGAGATATTACAGGGTGCAACATCTAGGGATAAGATATTCTAGGGTACAACATCTAGGGGCGAGATATTCTAGGCTATAACATCTAGGGACGAGATATCTAGGGCACAACATCTAGGGATAAGATATTCTAGGGTACAACATCTAGGGGCGAGATATTCTAGGCTATAACATCTAGGGGCAAGATATTGTAGGCTATAACATCTAGGGACGAGATATTCTGGGTTACGACATCTAGGGACGAGATATTCTAGGCTATAACATCTAGGGATGAGATATTCTATGCTATAACATCTAGAGATGAGATATTCTAGGCTATAACTTCTAGGGACGAGATATTCTAGGTTACAACATCTAGGGACGAGATATTCTAGGCTATAACATCTAGGGATGAGATATTCTAGGTTACGACATCTAGGGACGAGATATTCTAGGCTATAACATCTAGGGATGAGATATTCTAGGCTATAACATCTAGGGATGAGATATTCTAGGCTATAACTTCTAGGGACGAGATATTCTAGGTTACAACATCTAGGGACGACATATTCTAGGCTATAACATCTAGGGATGAGATATTCTAGGTTATAACCTCTAGGTGCGAGATATGCTAGGTTACAACATCTAGGGACGAGATATTCTTGGCTTTAACATCTAGGGATGAGATATTCTAGTCTATAACTTCTAGGGACGAGATATGCTAGACTACAACATCTAGGGACGAGATATTCTAGGCTATAACATCTTGGGGACTAGAGCAGTAGACATTCTATATAGGTTACAACATCGGAACTGCTGGAAAGGCCACTAAATATTTTCATCAAAGATTAATCGAGGTTCCATGGGCATTAAACCATTAAGGGAATACCACTCCCAAGCTATTCAGAAGAAAACGACCCCTCATCGACACATGTGTGAAACCAGCGACACAGTTTGACCATTTTTTTATATGATGTTGTTAGCCAAATTTAAACCTGGTATTACATAGACAATATTGTTTAAAGTTTGGAATGGATTTAATTTTCAGTTGACGTCACATACATTCGTCCTTATTCTTAGAACGAAATATAATTATTACGATTACGATATCTTTTATTATATTGCTGGAGGATAAAGTTAGTTTAGGTTAGGTTTGATTAATATTCGAGTGATGGTGGGTCGTTTGGTGTGACCTTCCTGTTGTACCCAGTGAGATAACCTCCGGCTGCTTTGATGTAAGGTCACGTTCACTTCAGTATACTCATTAGTGGTACAGCAGGTAGCGTCCTCACCAGTCAGCATGACGGTTGTTGGTTAGGATGTTTGCAAAGAGCATTGATGTGTGTGTGTGTGTGTGTGTGTGTGTGTGTGTGTGTGTGTGTGTGTGTGTGTGCGTGCGTGGTGGCGAGAAGTAACATTACCTGCCTACAACTATACACGAGGCCCAGGAGTACAGTAACTATATCAACCAGCACTCTCTCACAGTGCCAAGTTATTTAATTTCAAGGACATTTTGACGCTATGAATAATTATGCCTCATAAAATATTTTGTGTTTAGTATTTGCTATGTTAAATGGTTTTCACTTCATTAATCTTATGTACTGACTATAATGTTCTTTATATGGTAAATTCAGCTGACAAAACCTTGTATACGACGGTCAGCCATTTACTTAGTCTGTCAGCTAATCAAAGACGTTACGGACCTGTACAAACTGGTATTTTGTAACGTCACGATAACCTTTGTATACAGAAACAGACTGTTGAGAGAGACAGACATGGACCAAGACGATAGAAAACGAGAAAGTGTGAGTGAGTGTTATTCTGCCGGTGATATTGGCTCTTTGTGTATGCAAGGTGGTCACGATTGAAAGTGAGAGAGTAATATTCTGGAAGATTCACCCCACGTGCTGTATATACACACCAAGAGAGATTTGTATTGTTTCTTGTAAAGCTATACAATTATACTCTCTCTCTCTCTCTCTCTCTCTCTCTCTCAAACAAGACGTACTGCTCAGTAATGTCACAAAGTCCATCAGTTACCATCGATAACACTGCCTTGCGAACACTTAGGAAACACAGCAACAGCAGGCAATCCACAGAACCTTATTAGCTTATTAGCCCCCGAGCTTATTTCAACATAAGATTAATCACCATAACGCTGATCTAACCTAACCTAACAACCACCCGGGTAGTATGAGTAATAAATTAAGCTGGGGGGGCTAAACTTCACGTGATTTGTCTCTTTTTTTCGTCTTCTGAATGACATCAATCTTAGCATCTCACAGTGAATAGATACTCTGGAGTCTGGCTCTATATACCCCAGGGAGTCATCAGGATCTTGCCAGGTCATCAGTTTATTTAATTTCCTGCTTCTTTTTCATTATTTCCAGTTTTCTTTGATGATTTATGAACCTTGATATAATAGTTATAGATATTTCACGAATCTTCCTTCCAGTACTGCGACAGTTTGATATATCTTACGCTTCACCACTTCTCCTCCCGCCGCCTGAGATTCGCCGTTTTGTTTTTATGTTCCATTTGGTCATCACTCTTGTCTGATGCTTCTTCTTTTACTCCTAGATGTCCGACCATTTCTCCCCTAGAGTGATTTTTTAGCTTTAACATGTTCAGATTTCAGACGAACTTATTTTTGCATTGTCGTGTTTTTTTTTTCTCCTCATAATAGCCATTCATCTGTGTTTCTACATTTTGGTTCAGTTTTAAATTATTTTTAAAGGGAGATACATCATTTCTTCTCCCAGCTTTTCTCAGGGTAACATTGTCATCTCTTGACGAGGCAAAGCTATCGCAAATCTGGTCCTGCCTATTGTAACTGTCTCCCTGTCACACACTGGGGTTGGGAAAGGATTGGGTTGGCAACACTGATAAAGTTTCCTAAAAGATGGCCGCTTTGTTTTCGTTCAGGGTAGTCTAATGGGAGTCGAGTTTAAATGATTTTCGTGTAACATTGGGATGAGCAAGTGCTATTTACCTTTATTTAGAGTTGTAGACAAAACTGAGATTTTCAGGAACGACCAAACTTTTATTAGCCTGGATGTTATGTGGTGCGCCTCATGTATACAGTACACCTTACAAAGTGGACGTCAACTTTTACAACAAAATCGAGTTAACATCTTTCTCACGATACACCATCAGCACCACCACAACCACCACCACTACCACCATCAGCATTACCTTTACCACCATCAACATCACCACTACCACCATCAGTACCACCACTACCACCATCAGCATCACCATTACCACCATGAGCACCACTTCTACCATCAGCACCACCACTACCACCATTAGCACCCCAACTACCAACTACCACACAGTCGGTATCCCACATTGGAATAACATTCTTCACTACCTTCCGCCTGTCAGCAACACCAGCAGCTGTACTTCCTCATGCCCAAACAATATAAATTATATCAATAAAGATGAATAATTAAACTAGGCCCTGGAAACATTAGTGTTGTGTAAGACTTAATGATAAATGGCACCGTGTAATAAAGGGTGGTTTGATATAAGACATTCTCCTCTTGGAAAGTTGGAGCGACCATAACTTTGCCGCCAGAATGTGTGTGTAGGTCGTCTCCACAATGAAAATGGATGACGCTGGTCTTGGTGGTGGCAGTGAAATGTCGTCTTTCATTCCCTCTGGTTCTCTTAGATTAATGGTCTAATCATAAAAAAAAAAAGTTGGAGAGATGACCACAAGTTGGGAGCCCACTTTGTTTATAAGTCACGTCACAGGGTAAGGGACACGCGTATACTGGTAAGGTTTGGTGAGGGGGGGTTATATAAGTAATATTATAGATGTGGTCAGTAACTCGGGTAAGGTGACTAACACGGCAATATTATAATGTTTGTGCTCAGTGATGTTTACTGATTAATATAACTGGTTTATAATTACGGTCAGTATTCTAAGTTCATACTGTGTCTAAAGCAGTCATATAGTGTGGGCGAGCCTTGTGTAACCAGGTGTTTATTTACAGGGACTATTCACCCGTCACCTGAAGACCGTGGTGGTGGGTCTGGTGCTGGCCTCCCTACTGACTCTCCTGCTCTACACCACGCCTACCACCACCTCCTTCATCCTCTCTGCCACCTCCTACAGTGTCAGGTTAGTGGCACGCCCATTGTACACGCCTTCACCCATTACTCCCTCCAACACACCCTCCCACACACCAGCACACTCTCCCACACACCAGCACACTCTCCCACACACCAGCACACTCTCCCACACACCAACACACTCTCCCACACACCAGCACACTCTCCCACACACCAGCACACTCTCCCACACCCACTCCCACACACCCTTACTCTCCCACACACCAGCTCTCTCCCACACACCAGCACACTCTCACACACCAGCACTACTCCCCCACACTGTACACTCTCCCACACACCAGCACACTCTCCCACCAGCACACTCTCCCACACACCCTGCCTCTCCCACACACCAGCACACTCTCCCACACACCAGCACACTCTCCCACACACCAGCACTCTTCCCACACACCAACACCTCCCACACACCAGCACACTCTCCCACACACCAGCACACTCTCCCACACACCAGCACACTCTCCCACACACACCCTGCTCTCCCACACACCAACACACTCTCCCACACACCAACACACTCTCCCACACACCAGCACACTCTTCCACACACCAACACACTCTCCCACACACCAGCACACTCTCCCTCAATGGCTTGGTGGAATAACAGTTTGTGAGACAACCTAATTTATACCTGGCAGTTTTTTTTTTATTTTTTTTTTACTTCTTTGAATTTACGTTTCTCTTTACTTATTGTGATGTCACTTAATATATATCTCAGCTACTTACATAACCTCCGTTAACTTTATGCTTCACGTTACAGTATAAACCAATATAGATAGATAGATACCTTGGCTATATTCATCCCAATGGAAAAACTCTCAGGTAAATATTAAAAATAAAATATTATATGAATGAGGAAAACACATGATTTATAGCGACTAAATGGTGACCAGAGTTTGGAATTTTGTATAGGAAGTGGTCGGATAGCGTATTAATATGGGCAAGTATAAGCACATCACTATCTTGATCTACGATATTTTGAGCTTTTGAAGTTTATGTTCCTTCCTACCTACGGCTGCATGCACTACTCTGTCGCCTACGCTCACTCACCCTCTAACCCAAGCTTACCTAACCCACGCTCGTCCTCTAATCCAAGCTCACCCCCTAAACCACGCTCACCCTCTAACCCACGCTCACCTTCTAACCCACGCTCACCTTCTAACCCACGCTCACCTTCTAACCCACGCTCACCTTCTAACCCACGCTCACCTTTTAACCCACACTCACCCTTTCACCAACGCTCACCCTCTCATCCACGCTCACCCTCTCACCACCGCTCACCCTCTCACCCACGCTCTCACTCACTCACCTCACTCACCTTCACCCTCTCACCCACGCTCACCCTCTCACCCACACTCACCTTTTAATCCACGCTCACCTAATCCACGCTCATCCTTCTAACCCACACTCACTTTTTAATCCACGCTCATCCTTCTAAACCACGCTCACTTTTTAATTCCACGCCCACCTTTTAATCCAAGTACATCCTCTCACCCACGCTCCCACCCATGTACCCACATCCATGATCTAATCCACATTCCAGACTCACACACGCTTACATCCACTGCCATGGTCTCACACCCACATACCCACTCTAAATCAAATGTAAGTCTGTATATTTTCAGCCACCGGCTGCAACTCTATTAATTAACCGTTTATTATTATTTATTATTATTTACATACACCCTCCTACACACCCGCGTCCTCTTCCAACACACTAGACCTCCTCCAACACCCCAGATCTCCTCCAATACCCCAGACCTCCTCCAACACCCCCAGACCTCCTCCAACACCCCAGACCTCCTCCAACACCCCAGACCTCCTCCATCGCCCCCAGACCTCCTCCAACACCCCAGACCTCCTCCAGCACCCCAGACCTCCTCCAGCACCCCCAGACCTCCTCCCAACACCCCAGACCTCCAGCACCCCAGACCTTCTCCAACACCCCAGACCTCCTCCAACACCCCAGACCTCCTCCATCACCCCCACACCTCCTCCAGCACCCCAGACTCTCCCTTCACACAGGCCTCCTCAACACCCCAGACCTCCTCCATCACCCCAGACCTCCTCAACACCCCAGACCTCCTCCATCGCCCCCAGACCTCCTCCAACACCCCAGACCTCCTCCAACACCCCAGACCTCCTCAACACCTGATTTCCTCCAGCACCCCAGACCTTCTCCAGCACCCCCAGACCTCCTCAACACCCCAGACCTCCTCCATCACCCCCAGACCTCCTCCAACACCCCAGACCTCCTCCATCACCCCCAGACCTCCTCCAACACCCCAGACCTCCTCCATCACCCCCAGACCTCCTCCAACACCTCAGACCAGTGTAACCTCCAGGTAGTGTATAGACCGCCACATCAGACCTTTATTATCCCAAGGTTACATTCCGTGACTTCGTGAGACCATTTAAGGCTTATGTTGTTGATGGTCCAACCCCGCCCTCCAGCCACACGCACTCTGACCAGCCTTTGTCTTACTTCACCTAACTCACTCAACTCAGTGTATTCCTTGACTCACTCAACTCATTGTATTCCCTGATTCACTCATCTCATTGTATTCCCAGACTCACTTAACTCATTGTATTCCCTGACTCACTCAACTCATTGTATTCCCAGACTCACTTAACTCATTGTATTCCCTGACTCACTCAACTCATTGTATTCCCTGACTCACTCAACTCATTGTATTCCCTGACTCACTCAACTCATTGCATTCCCTAACTCATAGTGGAGTCGTGATATAACTGTGTGGGCCAGAGTAACATTTATCCCAAGTAGTAATACTTTATGTACACGAACAATCTTGTGGTGGATATTTGAGAGATGCTTGAAGTGTTAGTAAGTGGTAATTAATAATATTGAAGTGCGGACGACCAGTCTTTGTTGTGTGTCACTGTCATAGAATGTTACCAGAAACCTGTAGTACTTTTGACTGAACATTGGTCTTCTTAATGTGAATATTTGTGGCTGACGTAGAAGTGAAACCAAGTGGTCTTTGGGAGTTTGTTCCAGTGTTAAAGCAAATTTGGCCAATTCTTAAGTGAACCCCAAGGGGTGATTTATAGGTGTATGTTAGGATCAAGTTTAAAGTATTCAACTTAATTTTAAATAAACTATCTTCATTGTATGTTTCTCCCCATACCGTGGTACCAGTAATTACAGTAAACCCACGTGTCCTAACACTCGAGCCATGCTACCACAGATAAGAGGTTAGGGGTATCTATGAGAAGAAAGGTAACTAAGAAATAGCTAACATAAGGAATTAATAAAGTAAGAAATTGAAATAAAGAAAGTTTGAAGAGAGAACCAATTAAGAAATAAAGAAAAGAAGAGAAGAAAGGAGAAATAAAAATATAATTACAACACCTTCTTTACAAATTGGTTTACAAATGTGGGAAAAGAGAATTGAAAGAAAATCCCCAATAGAGATACTGATAGTGAACACCTGATTGATAGATATTAGATAAATAGAGATAGCGAGAGTGAATACCTAATCTTAATACAATCACTATTTTTTACTTTTACTTTATCCTATTCACCATTGATTGGCTCGTTAGCTGCATGGGCGATCAGTTACGTCTCTGTTACGCACAGTTGGCACGTAATATTATCAGTAATCATTGGAAGTTAATTAATCACATACAAAAGTAGAATCGAGATATGTCAAGAGTTAGTTTTTCTAATTAGATATATTTCTAACATGTTTATTTCAGATTTACACATTAATATTGACCCAATTTATTCTTGCACAAACTATCAAATACCCCTCCCGTGTCAAACAATATGACAAATCAGTGAAAAATTCCATACAATAGAAGAAAGAAGTTCCTCCTTTTGGGAAGTCAAAAGACAGTTTGGTCCCCTCTGTTGACATATTGGAACCATGGTCCATTTGGCCTAACCTACGAAATTTAACCTATATCAGGTGCTATTAAGAGGGTTCAGGCTCTCACTTGGCTCAGCCATGTCGATATTGTTCTTATTTTCCACTCTGTATCTGTATTTTTCTGGCTAGATAGGCAGTTTCAATATCAGTCCACCTAGTTAAAACTGTGTGTCCGTCTGTTCAAACCGCGTGTCCATAGGTTCATATTGTATGTTTGTTTTCCTTTCGAACAGTGCAGGGGTGATGATGGACGAGGATGAGCCACGGTGCTTGCCAAACCAGCACGTCATGTTTCTCAAAACCCACAAGTGTGCCTCCACCACCGTCCAGGTATGTCAGTATATGGTGCAGTATATAAACTGTATATACATTACAGTATACTTTTAGTGATTGGGTGTTATATGTTTTTTTTAATTCTCATTTAACCTTTATAAATACTCTCCATCCTTAATTAATCTCACACCAGTTTATTGAATATCTTGATCCAATACACTGCATTGAACTTTCTTGTACTATTTTTTCGTTTGTAAAATGACCACCAGAAACTGAGTTGTTGTGGAATGCTGGAAGGACTTTTAGGAAATGTGTCCTTGATAAAACCTCTTTTCCTTTCTTGTGAACGTGTTCATTCCTGTTAAAATCAGACATATTCTGTAATGATTTTTGTCACTTTACCTTAAGTTACAAAGGCCATGCAGTTAACACCTTGAGGGCTCAATACATCACTGTACAATGAGAAAAAATATATGTGATTGACACAACTTTAATCCCTCTGCTACCTGTCCCTCACACTTGTATTATCATTTTTCATCTGCTCACCCGAGTTTTGCATTTAAGGATTTCACTACTCTACATTGACCTGCCTTTACCTTCTGTTATACAGTCGCGGTCAGAAGTTCGCTCCCTCCCAAAATGAAGCAGTATTGACCCCAAACGAGATAAAACAGCACAATCACACCAGACAACAGTAAACTTGGAGCCTCATTCCCATGACAATTTCAGAGCTGGGAGTGAACTCTTATCTGCGACTGTACAGCTGCAGGTAAAGATTCTTAACCTCTCCATCCACAGAATATCTTCCTGCGGTATGGCTACACGCATAATTTGACCTTCGCACTGCCATCTGGGGGCAACTACCTAGGTAATCCTAAATTTTTCAAGGTGAGTTAACTTATTGGTACAGTACTGTTCTTTCAAAACCTTCGCCTACACTCTCAATCAATGCTAGGATTTATCAGTGACTGCCTTGGAGTATACTGTATGTTTCTCTGCTGCCTTGTGAGTTACTATATGTAGGTTGATGATTATGTGTGTACAGTAATTTTGTATCTTTGATTGTATTTTACACTTAATGAATGCTCTTAATAATGGTTCGAGAGAGCTTGAATAATGAGACTCTAGATAAAAATTTAAGTGTATGTAAATATAGGAGGCATTGTTAACAGGGGAGGCCAACATATGAGGCACCCCACCCAACAAGGAAGAGTCCATCGAAATAATATTTTCAGATATTGGGTTTCAAAGTTTTTCATGGTCTCAAAATCCTTAAATGGTATACAAAACAGATTTTTGAACTGTTAGCGGTGAACCCTCCACATGATGTCTAATTTTAATGAACTATCTGGAGACATAGAAAACACTTTTTTCACCCCATGGCGGGCTCGTCCTTGTCATGCTCCGGGGCGCCTCATATGCTCTTTGATATTCCAGGAAAGTTGTATTGTATATATATATATATATATATATATATATATATATATATATATATATATATATATATATATATATATATATATATGTAAATATAGCTACAGTATATAACTTATATTTAGTAGCTTCATTTTATTTATGTAGTTATTTTACCATTTTCTTCTTTCTTAACAATCTAATTTATTTCCAACAGTTTCAGTTGTAAACTTTTGTAGTTCCTCATCTTTTATTACTGTATTTCCAATTTAAATGCAAATCATAAATTAGGAAAATTTTAATGTCATAATATAATGTTGAATGATTTGTTTTGCAGGCTAGCATGATTCCAAATAAGTTGATGCCTCGTCACGGGAAAGTAGATTTATTTGCTGTTCACTCCCGCCTCAACCCGCCCGAGCACAAACGTATCCTATACAATGACACACGGTGGATTACCATTGTGCGAGAACCTTCTACACTTTATGAGAGCCTCTTCAACTTTTTTCATATGAAACATGGTTATGGATTTGACCTGTCACAGTTTAGTACACGACCTATGTCGGTAAGTCCGTGAAAAGCCTATAACTACAATATTTCATATATATATATATATATATATATATATATATATATATATATATATACAGAGTATATATATACAGTAGTACCCTGATTTACGCGGTCAATTGAACCCACAGGGTACCGTGGAAAGTGAAAACCACGTAAAGTGAACAACAGAACATATGGGATTAATTCCAATAGAGACTGGCCTGACCCCCAAACTCTACTTTTTCCGACACAATACCTATGTTGTAGTAAAAATAACATCTAAATTTTATGATGGTATGCTCACACAATTAATATTTAAGAGAAATACAGTCGCCAGGTTATGTCCATTCAAATAATGGACTCAAATCCCCCCCCCTCTTCCCAGCTCACTGGCCCCTACCTCTCTGAGAAATGATTGGGTGAAACACTAGATTTTAACGTTTAGTAATAAATAATACCTCAGACTAAAGTTAGGATAATATAATTGACATTTCTGGATTCCTTGCAGGTCAGGGAATATTTTGAATGTAAACTTCATATATTTTGCACAAAAGATAAAATACTTGCTTTGTGTAAACCAAATTATTACATTAGATCTAAAATTTGTATGTCTAATGCAAAATCCATGATGTTTATATTCAAAATGATCATCATATTGTAAGAATTCCAACAATGTAAATTATATTCTGGTCGAGAAATTTGTATAAATTTTATGAGCTAAAACAAATATCTAAAGTTAATAAAAAAAAATATTCTTCAGGACACTATCTGTCAATCAAAGTACCCCAACTTGCCTCCCCCCCTCTTCCAACCACGCCAGATGGTCGGTCAGTCCCAACCCTCCCCCCCCACCCCCACCTTCCCTCCCTACCAGTGAAGTGTTGGGTGAAAAAACTAGATTTTAACTTTTAGTAATAAATAATACCTCAAACTAAAGTTAGGATAATATATTTGACATTTCTGGATTCCTTGCAGGTCAGGGAATATTTTGAATGTAAACGTCATATATTTTGCACAAAAGATAAAATATTTGCTTTGTGTAAACCAAATTATTACATTAAATTTAAAATTTGTATGTCTACCGTAATGCAAAATCCATGATGTTTATATTCAAAATGATCATCATATTGTAAGAATTCCAGCAATGTAAATTATATTCTGGCCGGGTAATTTGTATGAATTTTATGAGCTAAATAAAAAAAAAATTATACTTCACCGCGTATATGAGTAGATGCACCGCGGAAAGTGAAAGTTTGGTTCTGGCAAGGTACCGAGTAAATGAGAAATCATAAATGAGAAATCGCAGAAAGTGAAACCGTGTAAAGCGGGGTAATACTGTGTGTGTATATATATATATATATATATATATATATATATATATATATATATATATATATATATATATATATATATATATATATATATATATATATATATATATATATATATATATATATATATATATATATATATATATATACAGTAGTATATATAAATATTTCTGTCCTTCGAGTTGTTTTGTTTCACACATAAAAGTAAACAAGGTATAGTTGACTCTACCATCCACTGTGTTTGGAACCAAATAGGTGGCAGATTCAATACTGGAGTTCATTTTACTGGATATAGAAATAATTTACTGTACTTTATTTGTAATATATTTCTCCTAATTGTATGGTTAATTTTGGTTGGTTTGTAGTCGATAGATTTCAAGGGTCTCTTACATTCAGTCTGCTAAAGAATCTACTTTTTACTACACGTATTGTGTAAAGAAACAAATAATATGTTTCTGTGGAAAATTTCATTATTGCTAATTGTCACAATAGTACAGTATCAAGGATTTTTTAAACTCTTATTGTCAAAGGAATTAGTTTGTACTTTGCTGTGGGAAGAAGAAACTAAATTGTTTCTGTAATGATTTCCAAAGCATGTTACCTATACTGCACAGTTTTATGCAGTATTTGTCACCCATTTACTGTATACCGATAAATACTGTACAGGTATTTTAAAACACACCATATATAGTAATATAGCGTGAAGGTCATGAAACGCTATAAGATCTTTATTTCAAAAGTCATAAAGTAGACACCCTGTACTGTATAACTACAGTATCTTAATGACCAGCAATAATCTGGTTGTTCATGTGTCTTGTTAGATTGTGTAGCTCTACTTCTATCGGATCTATTTATAACTTTTGGATTATTTTTTGGTTTGGTAAATCAAATATTTGTTTCTTGTTTTGTTTTTCAGGAGTTGGAATCCCTGCCTAGATATGGAGGAAAATTTGGGAAAAATCAAATGTTGTTTGACTTGGGCTACCAAGTTGATATGTCTGTAACTGAACTGAGAAGTGCCATTGAACAGCTGGATAAACTTTTTGACTTAGTAATGATATCTGAATATATGGACGAGTCACTTGTACTCTTACGGCACCTCTTGTGCTGGAGTCTTCACGATGTGGTTGTTTTTGCTAAAAATGCTCGTCGTCAAGAAGTCAAGCCCACACTGGAGCCTCAAACGCAACAAGCACTTCGGGAACTGAACAGTGCTGATGTGTTGCTCTACAACCATTTTGTGGCTAAGCACCGCCGTACAGTTTATGAGTTTGGAGTTCAGAGAATGGCAAATGAGGTATCAGCACTGCGTAGCCTTCGTGACGAGTACTATGAAGACTGTGGAGCGCGTGAAGTAAAAGGTCGAGATTCTTCTCTTAAGTTCAAAGAGTACTCAGGGTTGGTCAGTGCTTATGTTACAGCCAATAATTCTGACCAAAACTGCTTGATGCTCTCCATGCCTGAACTACCAATAGTAGACTTTATTAGACGACGTCAGAAATTGTTGCTAAATGTGGATAAGTTGTCCTAGTACCAGGTCAGATTTAAATACAATTTCAATTCATTCCATTGTTATAGCCATAAATCAAGCAAATTCAAGACGTGACATTAACAACTGATTCATTAGTTGGTCAGAATACAAAAGATCTTCCTTTATTTCTTCATGCACATGGCTTCCAATTCTGCATATCACAAGTGATCTATTTTTGTATTGATTTTAGGAAGATGTTAAAGAATATGACTGTGTCTGCTGTCCCATGTGTCAGCAAATAGCACCCAAGTGCCTCCTGTTTGTTGTATACACAAGGCTTTCAGAGTGTCATATTTATGCTGCTAATCTACAAGAGAAGGGAAATGATATAAATATAATTGATACTTTTATATGCCAAAACTTAAAATAAGTTTGAAAAGTAATCATTTTACTCGTTTCTGTTTTATTTACTTTTTGCATCGTGATTTCATGGAGTTTATGTAGTACTGTTATGATAAAGTTTTGCTAATGATCGCTGAATGTTCACACTACTGTCACCCACACACACCCCTCTCATTGTTCTTTTACCTTACAGTCCTATTATACACAAACTCTCTCCCTCTGACTTTTACCTTCTTTTTGGATCTTTTATTTTCTTTCAATCTTCCTTCTCATTCCTCTCTACTTTCTTTATCATCCATTTTTAAATTATTTATTTAGCACTTCAAAATTTCATCCAACTAAAGTAAGGTAAAAAAAAAAAAGGATGATCCGCATATTCTTTTAACTTGTCCAAACATTTACCACTCAACATTTAAAGTATTCATTACATTTCGCCTTTACCAACACCTTCAGTCATCAGGTGAAGGTTTATCAGACCCACAACATTTATGAAAACTGTGCAATTGAAGGAAACCCTGCATGACTCAGGGATCTGTCAACCAGTACTATTTTCATGTTACTTTTTTATATCTTTAGAGATCTGCGTCACTAAATCACCCCCAGGCAGAATCCTCTTATTGGTAGAGGATTTGTCTTGTTTAAAGGTCTGTTAAAGTCCACACAACACTATTCGATAATGATTTTTGAAGCATTATTTTCTCATTCAGTCAAACCAGGATTGTGGGTGTTTCACTTAACAGTGAGGTTTCAGGTCAGGAGGGTTTAAGTGGAGTGGACATATTTGATATAGTCAGGACCAGATATAAACAATTGACATCTTTCCTCCAATCTATAATATGTTTCTACTTATTCATATTTAATGAAAATTAGGATATACGTAGTAATAGTCTGTCTATCTCCTTTTTAAACCATTAAGGGATTTGCTCCTTCTCTATTTACAGTGTTTCACAAGCACAATGCAATACTCTGAGATTCCTTCTCCATTTTGATTCCTAACAATGGGAATGAATATAGTTTATATTACTGTTAAATAAAAAAATATATCTGTATGTATACAATTGTTAACCATACAGTATTTCTATTGAGCATAATTCAAATTGGTGATTTAATGGGTACTGGATACCTCTCAGAGGATCTTCATGTAGACAGATGCAGCTGTTTGAACAATACAGTATCTAGTTCTACGAAGGCTTTAGAAACTTTTTTTGTGCTATTGTGCTAAAATATTTCTTGTTTGGACATTTCAGTAGAAAAAGCTGTGTGGTACAAAATTCAAAACCTTTAAAAAAGCAATTACGATTGACCTTGCTTAAGACATCGTCAACATAAGACAACTTACGATAATTATTTTCTAGCTAGTCATTTCGGGCAATCAGGAATTCAGTAACTTCAAACTGTGGCAAGAAAGATAAGAACATTTGGCATACAGTATGTGCTTAAGCTGAGTATGGCAGTCAGAGACATACTTACAATGTACATACAGTAGAGTGGTCTGCAAGGATCAGACTTTTTAGATCCAAAGATCGACAGATTGGCATGTACCCGGGTCAGTAATATACCCCAAGTAGAACACGCAACCGCCTGACCTCCATGTGTTAGGTCAGGCAGTTTCTTCATGCAAACTATTGATCAAAACATTCACTACTTCTGCCCTAACACACACACACACACACACTGGTTTTTACAACAGTTCTCTCAATATATGACTTTCCCATACATTTTCCTTGGTATACTTATCAGGTTTGTTTATTCATTAATAGCTTTTGGATTAATTGTTATCACTTTTCCCTTTATACAGTAGAGGGGACTTAAACAGTCTCTCAGCCATGGCTTTGTTTTTCTTCTCCTTGTCATTCCTGCCCTATAAAGTCTTGTCCTCCATTCTGTCACTCTGTTTTTCCCATCCTTAGTATTTCTACATTGATTCCATCCACTCCTGGTGCCTTATTATTCTTAAGCTTACTTCCTCTTCCTCACTTATTATTATATTTTCCTTATTTTATTTTAAGGTGTTTCATTCTTTCACTTCTAAACAGATTAGCTCTGTCTGCCTTTCATGTGATCTGTACTTTTAGCAGCTAGTTAAAAATATTCTCCTCATCTCACAATCACTTTTTTCCCCATAACATGTACCCTTTTTTCAAGCTTAACTTCTATTTATATTTATTCACTTGTTTACATGGTTTTCTTATCCTGTTCACTTCACCACAGAGTACTAGCTACTTGTTTTCGTCAAAATTATGCAGCAATCTCTCTAGTTTCTCCATAAGTTTCATCTGCTCATCTTTTTGCATTGTTTCAACATTCATTTTACTTTCCATTCCATATCGGTGTACTCCTCCTCACTTGCAACTAACACTCATACAACCTTCTCTTCTTAGATTAGCATTGCCAACCTCACCCCACCATCTCTGCCTTCTGTATTTTATTTCTATTCTTTGGTTCACATTCAACTCAGCTCATTCTCTGGGATTGGCTCCTTAATTTACAGGTACAGTACTTCCATTACTCTTCAGTTCCCCCTACTTCACCCTAGTTTACATGTCACCACTTAATCTCTGTCCTTTTCCTCAATCTTTCAGCCAGATTTTCATTCCTCAACTCAAATAACTTTTATATAAAAAAAATCATATCTGTAATCTCTTTCACACCTCAACCTTCTATTTAGTGTTAATTTTCATTCAATCAAAATATGGTCAGACACTCGGCGAGAACTTCTTCATAGCAAACTTACATTACCCATCTTGCACTTATGTTTCTCCAATTGATAGAATGGAAGATGTGATGTGCAGTGCTTTAAATATTATCAATACGGTTAGTACTTAAAATAGAACCAACTGTGCTCAAGCTAGATATGATCCCAATTGTGTAAAATCTCATGGTGAAGGTCCAAATTAATATTCCTGCAAGCTTTATTATCTAATTATTCACATGATCGCTGTTTATAAATATATTTATAGGTCAGTACAAATTAATTGATGCCTACTGTTTGAAAGTGATGCTAGATAGAGGCTCAGGATCATAGACTTGACTGTAATAACCAACAATTTTATTAGGAAAACTCTTTTTCATTAATACTATTTTTCTTATATACCCTGTATCAGCATTGTCAGTAAGGATGACCTGTATTTCTGAGCAGCATTACGTGTCCTCATCTCATGCTTGTTTATCCAGTTTTTCAAGCTTTTCTTTAATTTCCAATTACTTTTTGCTTTCCTTCTTTCCAACCCAATGGGATGGCTGGTATTTAAGATGTGGTTCAGTACAGTAAAGTAAATATTCCACACACACACACACACACACACACACACACACGCAATATGGCCAAAATAAGTGGACAAAATCAAAGCATCAATAAAGGTTTTATCAACGTGTCAGCTTGGCTTATATTTGTAATCAATAGCAGAGATGCTTCTTGAGTTACAAAGGGTAATTTAGGAGGGTTTCTAAAGACAGGAATCTCTTAGCAAATTATGTACTTTTCTCAGGAATTACTGTAACCATGTTTGGAACTTTGGAAGTAATAATGAATGAGGTAAACTTAGCATTAAAAGGGATCCATTTTTGTTTTCCTCTCCAGAAGTTAGTCTTTCAGTGCCTAAAACAGTCTCATTCACACAAGGAAATGGCTAAGCACACCTAATAGCTGTAGAGCTGTAGCATGGTTATTTTTTTGTTTATCATTTCACCACTTATCCGTTTACTAGCCATTCGAGTGGTTGGCAGTGTTAGTACAGGAGAGAACCGGAGTCCAGGAAACCTGTAGTGTTTGGTAGTTTGAGTTATACTAAATTCCACCTTTCTCACGTGTGTCTGGGCCAAGCATCATTATCCCTTATCCCTGGCCATTTTCACACCTAATTATTTTCCTCTAGTTTATCTCTGTCTGCAGTAAAGGTATTTCATATAAGAATATTGTAGCAAATACTGTACAGTACTCTCTGAAGTTTTGCTCATTGCACACTGACAGTCTTATACCTCTCATAATCTTGTATGTAGTGTATCATAATATTGAGCAGTTTTCTACTGTATTGTACTTCTTAAGTAGGACCCATTTTTACGGGCAAATTTTCATTAGTGTTTATGACAGTAGAAGTCCTCCATCACCTTAGGGCATCCTTGCTGCGGTTGAAGATGAGTTTAAATTGAGCCCCAAGACCAGACAAGGCAGTGTCTTAAGACAAGTCACCTAATCCCATTTTTCAATTTTTTATATATTATGATATTTTATGATATTTTCTTATAATGCTGTACCTTTCTGTACAAACAAGGGTTAATTGAACAGCAGGTAACTTGCCCATTCTCTGTATATTTACTTAATTATGTGATTTGATACAGTACAGTACAAGCTTTATGTGGGTTTAATTTCTAAAGATTTATCATATTGTGTATCATGGTGTGTTAGTCTTCTCTAATGAATTAGCTGGAAATCAAGCATGTTGACTGGTGAGTACAGTACACTACAGTACAGTACAGTACAGTACACTGCACTCAATAACATTACAAGAAATTCACTGTTTTCCCACGATAAGTTTTCAAAGACCCAGTCAGGGATTCTGCTGAGTCATTTAGTCTCAAGTACTATGACCAAATCCTAAGGGTTTGATAGTGAGAGGAGACAGTCAGTGAAAATCCAACCTCAAGGCCTGTATTAATTACAGTACTGTACTAAACACTACTTTATTGCCTTCATCACAACTATGAAAATTTCCAACATTAGGAAGAGAACTCACTGGCCCCACAACAGCCTCTGCTACCACCCTGTTTAATGAGTGCATGAAATTGTAAAGTTTTGTTTTATATATATACAGTATTAAGGAATTTTTTTATTATTATTTATTGATTTAAAGGTATTGTACATAATAAAAGATGAACAGTTCCAAAATAAATTGTAATTCCCTTCTCTCTAGACATGATTGTTAAATCTCAAAGAGGACTTTTTGAAAAAGTGCCTCCTATTTTCTATATTGTTGGTGTTATGTAAGTTAACTGCACATGTGATGGGCTGAATAAATATATATATATATATATAAATATTTTTATCAGTAATATAGATTTGCAAATAATCTTATAAACTACAGCCAATTAAGTACAGTACATGTTTCTACCACTTTGTGAGATGTACATGCCTACATTTGCTTAATGAAATAGAATTTTTTTTTTTAATAAAGTTGCTTACAATGTCGGTCCTATTTATGTTGGTATTAACTATACTAAGCCAATCCTATGAGTATTGATATTTCCTTAAAATTCATCAAAAATTAAAATACATATCCTGGTGGTAGGAACTTGAATTGGCATAGTCAATATTTTTCTTTAAGCATGTGAAAAAATAAAAGTCATGCAGAAACAGAGACTTTGTCCTTTTTCTCCTTCCCAGCTTCGACTGGAACTCATCTTCATCCTCTAAGGAAAATGTTTCCACCATTCAAGGTATGGTCAGTAGATCAAGGACAACACAGGACACGTGTATGCACACCCACTTCCTTTTCCAGCACACAAAAAACAGAGGTTATGTGGATTTTTCACATATGACAATGCCTTTATGTCAATAGTACATACAAAGTAGATAGGGCATAAATGGGGTGAAGTTACAAGAAGAAAAGATAAGGTCCTGTTGAGGCAGAAGTAGAAGAAAAGTGGGAATAGTATATAGAACTACAATGCACAGTAATAATAGAGTGGACCTTAGCCAAAGTAAAAAGGGTAATAAAGTTGAAACTACCAGTTTTGGAAATGGAAATTAATAAACATTATGGGGTAACTCGGTCTGCAGCAGAATTTAAAAAAAAAGGGGTTAGATAGAAATCATGTTTGATTGAATTATGTAATTTTATTCAATACAAAGCGGACCTTCTAGTGACTTCAAAGAATATATTACCTGTACCAAAAATTCAGGAACCTTCAAGTACACCAGGTTTAGGACAATACAGCTCATGTCATGCATTATTTAAAAAAAATAAATAAAAATAAAACCAAGTCATCTGTAGTTCTGAGCATCAAAATGGGTCTAGAATGGGAAGAGGACCTAAGGAAGGTTTATCTTGATTTTAGAGTGTACAAGTTCTACAATAGTCAACAGGTCTGTGCCAAAGGTTAATCAACACTACATATAGTTATTAAAACAGAGAAACTTATTTTAATGGCACATAGATCAACTGCTGATCCAGAAAGATCAACTACCATGAAGCCTTAAGTGAAATTTGGTCAAAATTAAAATACTTTAGCAAAATCTAACTACTGTACAGTATATCAGACACTCAACCGGGCTGGGATATCGGCATCAATCCCATGTGTATGATGCTACAGATGGTCTATTGTGCCTTGTCTGGAGGGTTATTAGTCCTAAGGCCCTCAGTCTACTTGCGTGTGGTGATTTTGATTTTGCCGCTTACAGCGGCTACTTTATTGTGCACCCCACACTCATCCTGTGAGCGGTAGCGCAAAAGGATTACAGAGACAGAGTAGAGTTTACAACGGGTCATAATATTATGGCACTGAATGTTACACAGTATTTCAATTACATTATTTGTTTAGTTCTATACATAAAGGGTAACTTATTCACAAATGTGTGAGTACAGGCGTGTGAGGCAGTATGTTTGGCCTCACACTTTGTTATTCACATTTACGTGGGAGGTATTCAAGCACATTGCGTATTTGGTTCTGTACATGAGAACTGATTTAGTTACTAAGTGCTAAAAAGTGGATACAATCTTAATATGTCGGCTATCTTGCAATTAGAGATGAAGTGTTGTGCCATTTCACACACAGTGCTTGAACCTGTCCCTAAAAGGTTCTATCTTCACACAGTCGAGGACGTAGTGTTCAAATGTGTGGCCATATGTATGGCCACACACTTTACATTTAGTTTTGTTTACATCTGCTTGAGGAACATACTGCCAAAGGTACTTATATCCTAACCTTAATCTAGCGGTTACATCTTGTAATCTAGTGATCTTGTTACTTGCTCCATATACATGTTTCACTTGATACATCTCATCATGGTAAACTATGGATCGACTAGTGCCTGTTTGCACTAGTCTACTTGCTTCAAACTCATCAATAAGTTCTTTCTAATTACAGTTTTAAGGGTTCTTTTTGACAGACCCAGATTGTATTCAACGGTGTCTTTGTTAGACGCGAGTTTGGCGAGGGCATCAACTCTGTCATGTTTTATGAGGCCTATGTGAGAGGGGATCCACAACAGTTTGACTTTGACACCCCGGTCAACAAGGCACGCATATTTGTGTCTGGCTTCAGAGACAAGAGCGTGACAACCTGAGTCGAGGGTGCCAAGGGCAAGTAGTGAGGATAATAATAATAATAATAATAATTAACGGTTTATTGAAAGAGCTTGGCAGCCAAAAGGCTGAAAATATACAGTTACATATTTGGGGAATGGGTTACGAATTACAAATAATATACAAGTAACATAAGTGACACAAATAAGACATATAATAACTAGAAGGGGAAAAGCTCAAACTACAGTTCATTTCAACATAGTGGCAGTGCAAGGAGTAGTGTTTACTGGGAGTGAATACACTGATTTATTACAAGTTATTGATAATTTTTACAATGGTTGGGACTGGGCTGTTCTTATAGCGATCAGTTCGTGCACGTATGGGCTGAATGCGGTTGTGGTGTCGAACAGCAATTCTCGGACTAGGGATCTCAGGTGGTAGTAGGAGCCGGTGTCGGGGATGGTGTAGAAGCTTCTTACCAAATTTGCAGATGAGGTCGTGGTGATGGTCAGTGAGAGTCGAAAGAGTCAGTGATGATGAGACTGTCAGTAACAGTGGTTTCAATGAATTTAATAGCTGTGAGTATGGCAACTAATTCAGTTTGTAGAGTGGATACCAGTTGTTAATTCTAACTCCTTTCTCAATTATATTACCGTCAGGTTGAGTCACAACAATAGCACTTCCAGCCCTCCCACAGGCGGTGTTAAGAGATCCATCAGTGTAGATGGTCTGTGTGATATTATCATCAGTCTGTAGAGTGTGTATGTGTTCAAGAGCTCTCAATTTGGCAGTGTGTTGGAGATAAATGCTTTATATAATTAATTTTTAGGCGGATACGTCGGTATTGTGATATCGAAGGGAACTGTCCGCCAGGGTGGCAGGAAGCGCTGTTGTGTCTCAACTTTGTACAGGTGGTCTAGTCCAAACATCTTCATATGTGTAGCTGTAGTTTGGATCCATTTAGACTCACCAGTCCTATGGTTCATACATTCTAGCAATTTTAGGGAAACAATGTCATCAGGATCACCACGCAGAAGCCTCAGGGCTATCATGAGGTTGACTTCAATTATTCTATCTTTAACACTGGGTATACCTAGTTCTTTCCTCAAATTAAGTGGTGGTGTGAGGTGTGGGTGGTGTTGTGTACAACTTGCAAGATGCAGTTTTTGGCATTATTACACCAATTTGATTGACAAATGTGAAGTGACGTCTTTCATGACGCCAGCCTTCTCATGACATATTAATTATATATTCTTATGACATATAATATGTCATAAGAATGCTTTAGGCCTACATTTTGCAATAATGTAACTGATGAACTGTACTGATTTACCTTATGCTGTACAGCTCAGCTCAACTACAGCCACTTGAACTGAATGATTGAGATTGACTGATTGTAATATTATTCTTATAGTTAAAAAATTACTCACATGTTCTCTCTAAACATACCTCACTTAGCAAGTAGAAAACCCACAGTGGCACTGTGGCAGACGAAATATTTCTTCTGGGTAGTTTCGGCGACAAATTCGACACTGTCAGTCTGTCACCCTCCTCAGTGGAAATACAGAGTGGTAATGTTTATCACCGACAAGGCAGTTTATTTATATACACTGTAATGTGACCCCACCCCGCATATCTGCACCCTCCCAATTCCTGCCCTCCGGGCCTCACCTCACCTCACCCATGCCTGTATCTGGCGTGCGGCGCGCCTATTACCTGAGTCACTTGACTCACTTCCTGGTTTTGGGAATATTTTTGAAATTACAATTTTGAGAATAAAAAGTGGGGAGACCAACCCAGGGGCCAGCCCAAAATCTGGGGGGCCATTGCCCCACCGTAGAATCACCCCTGCTCCCTCCTCACAAGCTCCTCACCACACAGCAACTCCCTAGCACTGCATTGTACATATAATATACACGTATGTATAGAAAACGCAATTGCGTTTCCCTTCTCCCCTCCATTCTTAGTGGGAGATCTCCTACATAGCCAACGCTGCAGTACAATACCGTTGAAGAGGAAGGACCAGGGATATGTAAGAATTGGATAATGATCGTGTCTTAAAACGCTGCAATAAACTTAATATCGTAGCACAAATGACAACCAACCCCCCACCACAGTCACTAAGACTGCTCAATGAAATTACCCAGGCCGCTTCCTTTGAACAAAATAAAATGTGATCAAAATTTTTTGCGAGATACTGTGGGGTATGAGTTGTTTGGTTCACACTCAGGATGGGATGGAGAAAGGATACAGTGGCGTAGCTAGAGTGTGTGCCGCCCGGGGCGGCCCTTGAGTTTGCCGCCGCCCCCCACCGTGACCCTACAAAAATACATATTGCACAGTGACTCACTCTTTTATATATATATATATATATATATATATATATATATATATATATATATATATATATATATATATATATATATTAAATAGTTTGCCTTACTGTTGTCAGACAAAAGCCACCCCGATCAAAGTAGGGGGCTTTTGTCTGGGTGGCTTTCGTCTGGGGGGCTTTTGTCTGGGTGGCTTTTGTCGGGGGGGGCTTTTGTCTGTACCCCAGTGAGGATAGTGTCTTAGTATAAAATCGCAATGCTGTGAAACAAAATCTTAATATTTAATCTCAGTACCGCAGCAAAAGTCACATCAATATTTTTTAACCAATACTTTAATATTTCTTACCTTATAGTATTATGTCTTCCAACGAAGTAAATAACTGGATCGAAAACACAAGAGAACTTAAAAGTCGTCTAGCCTCCCCTCGTCTTGTCACGATGGAGACTTGTGCAGAACTGAAGTGAATTGCTTGTAACTGGTGGATTGGTCGGCTGTACATGAACTGATATGACCCGAGACTGCATGGTTTTGCAGCTACTGGAGACGTTAATTCTTCCCTTTGTATCGGCGGCAAGTTAATCCTCGTCGTGTCTGACCTAACACCTGACCCACACCACATGAGCTCACTGGCGTACTTGTTTGAAGTTGTTTCCTTAATCCTCAACAGGTTACAGGTTGTGTGGGGGGGGGGGAGCACATAGCAAGGGTGTACGTAGCTCATGACGTGGCCGTGATGATGTGGGTCAGGTGTTAGGTCAGACACGACAAGGATTAACTTG